ACCGGAAAATATCTTAAGTACAATTTAAATGATTATAAACCATTTTGTTTCCAGAAATGATGAAAATCGCGGAATGAATCAAACACGCATCTTTACAATTTTTGGAAACATTATATTAATCTAGATCTGTGGGATATGCAGTTATAATGTGTAAAACCTTTCATTTCCTCAATACATGTATCTAAAAAAAGGAGGAAAAAACTTCCGTTCAGGTTATTTCTGGCATATTTTCTGCAGCTTTAGAATATCTATACCCCCCAAAAATTTGATTTTTTAAAAAACGAGAAAATTGTCCTATTACTTTGTCTATAGCAGCTGGCAAAAGCCCGGACCTTCTTGAGAGAAGTGGACAGGCATAGCGTACATGTAGACCGTATCTGTCCACTAATTCTCTATAAAGAACGTATAATCTGAACCAATATCCTACAATAACTTTAAAACAGAGGAAACAACTATGGAAAATAAACCCACACATCGCATTCAAAAGGGATACGAATGGCAAATATAAATTTCCTGTTTCCGGAACGAACAAGGAAGATAAAAAATATTGTCAAGTACATATTATAAAGAAGGAGATAATAATTTTAGATGTGAACGAAATAATGATTTAATCAGATCAAATTTATAGTAAACATTACACGATCCACAATTTTGCTTATTTTTGACACTGCAAATTCGGAGAATTTATGCCCCCCCCCCCTCCTTAAGCACATACGTTTATTTGAGATATTGTCCGGTTACTATTTGTAGCAATATTCTGTACAAGTTTCTGACCTTGACCTTTGACCCATTCACCTCAAAATTTCTTCTCAAGAACCACCTGGCCAGAAGAGGTGGAAGTTACTTGAACGCTTCATTACGTAATGTAGAGATTCAAATCATGACCCCCAGGTGTGAGGTGGGGCCACAATGGGCGTTCAAAGTTTTACATAGTGTGATAGTCGTGATTTAATTAATATTTTTTTCAGATACCAATAATAATCTTGATTTAAAATTTTAGTTTTATTCATCACATTTAACAAGTGAATACAGAGGAATACACATGTATTTAGATATATTTAAAGTCAAGAGAAATAATTCTTTGACCCGTGTCAATATTTATTATTTCATGACCTAATTAATATACAGTGTATAGTTATGTGGTTTTATGACAATATTAGATTCTGCTGTTACATTTGATATTCAATTTATTTAATTTTGATACCAGTCTTATTATCATCATCACATAATAAACAACATAACCATGCATAATAAAATCTTGTGTTAATTGCTCCCCCACTACAATAGGAATAACTAATAAAAACCTTCTCAAAATTGCATGATTAATCATACTGATATGGAACATCTTCAAGTAGCGTAGTTCCAAATTTTTTCAAATCGTGACCCCGGGGATAGGGTGGGGCCAAATAGGCTATCACAAAGTTTTACATTAGACATACTGATATGGAATCATCCTGAAGGTGTGTAGTTTAAAGTTTGTTCATAACATGACCCTTAGGGGTAGGATGGGGACACTCTGGTGAGCGTTATAGGCCATGGGTCTCTTGATTTATTCATCAAATCTATATGAAGGCTTCGCTATTGCATAATAATTACAATTGTATACAAACATAATCTTTAACTATCGGCAATTAACCAAGTGACCCTAAAATCAATGTGTCTTTCCAGTGTCCCCAGTAAAGTCAGTTGGAAGTCTGTTTACAAATATTCCATAGGCGCTCCCCATTAAGTTTGTAGATGACAAAAGGTCTACCTTCTATACTATAAAATCAATTGTTGATTTTATAGTATAGAGGGGTAGACCTATGTAGACTATCATTTTATCATCTACAAACTTGCATGGGGAGCGCTTATGAAATATTCGAGATATTACATCGCAGTATATAGCCATGTAATAATGTATAATCTCGTCCTTTGATCTTGAACTTTGACGGAGTCAACCCAGGCCTGGGGGTACCTCCTTGCCATCCTAAGAATGTATTGTCCACACACCATAAGTTTTCCTTTGAATTATTATTTGGAGAATCATGACAGTTCACAAAAGAATCCAAATCTGAGCACGTGAACTTCGACATAGGGCATACAAATATACACGAGGCCCATGGGTCACAACGCTCACCTAAGCCAATATGGCCCTGCCGTTCTTCATCAGCAGATTTTTTCCCCTACATTGTATACGAGGGGTTATCAAAAAGTTCGTGGACTAGCGTCATAAAATTAAAACCGCTTTAGGTACATCACTGAATTTTTACACATTTAGTTAGCATCATCTTTTCTATCTATAGAATAAAGTATAAATCATAATTTTTATTTTTTAATAAATTGTTAGTGTTTTTGTAAGCAAAGGTATGTCCAGGCGGCGCAACCTCTAATATGACGTTTTTTTCTACATGAGTGTAACTGAGAAAAACTCTTTAGATATGAGTATTTGTCATCAAAAAATCTCGTTAATTCAGGCATGTGGTACGACACATTTGTTCAGTAAAATTTGCAATTTTTACCCCATTCTGTAATTTCTATGAAATTTTATCGTAAATTTTATATGGAGTGTCCAAACAATTATGCGTTTGAAAATAACGTCAAAAAGGGGGAGGGGTTTCTTTTTCAAACACTCTATAGAGTTTCGCTCCTGGAAAAACTGGTATTGACCTAAGGAATGTTTAAACTGGCTACAGAAAAATAAAACATTCAGAGTACTTGTTTTTTAATGCCCAAAAAGATTCAGAGAGATGAAATATGCACAGTTAGTGTCGATTTGTAGTCAGGGTGTCAAAAGTCAGTCACGTCGAAAAGTGACGTTGCTCATGTGTGGAAGAAATTGAACTCCAACAAGCTAAGTATTCTGGCATAATCAAGTAAGGATCTTTCCCCATATAAAGATTCATTTACAATATTATATGCATTGAAAACAGCTGCTCATGACATTGTAAATTCATATAAATAAGACGGGTTTTTAAGTCCATGCTTAACTCCAGGTAATCTCATCAAGATAAGTGTATGAGGTAGAGAGAGCGGACATTAAGAAACAATGACGTTAAGCGGACGTCATGACACTAAACGGCGACAGCGCCGGGTGATCACATAACGTCTTTTTAATTTTAGAATTAAGCTAAAATTTTCAACATTTCTTAAACTTTTGTTGTTTTATGTTCCGCTTAAATTTTGTAGGCAAAGACTATATATTATTAATTTTATCGCGTCAGTCCACGAACTTTTTGATAACCCCTCGTATATTACTGTATAAAACTTTGAATCCCTGTTGTGACCCCATCCTACCTTCAGGTGTTATGATTTGAACAAACTCAAGGTATTCAATGTATAACAACCATTTTTTGTATCTAATAAGTGAATATCCGATTTTTTAATCATGGTAGTATTTTGAAAGTGTTATCAAACAAAAATATTTCACCAACTGAATTTACCAAATTTTGGTTATTGTACAATTAATTGTACCTTGAAGTTAACATTGAAGTATATGGGCATCACATGTGTTATTAAGATATTGTAAAAAGTAATTTGAATTTCATACAAATCTCTTGGTGAATATATGCATAAACTCTCTCTTTATTATAATATGAAATAAAATGAAACATTCACCAAAGATATTTTGAAAAAAAATAAAATTTTCTTCTTTTCATCAAGGCCAGATAACTCATCAAAAACTTTTAAGTTGCAAAATGACTGGCTTCTTACTTGTTATCTAGCAATGCATTTTTAACTACTGGTAGTTTAAGATTATTCAAAATCCCTTCATTATACATTAAATACCTTAAATCTAAACTGAGGATGCTTCCATATTCGTATAATTAATCATGGTTTTGCTGTTCTTGAGGAGATTTTTAAGGATGTCGCCCCACCCTATCCCCAGGGGTCTGACTTGAACAAACTTGAATCTACACTACCTGAGGATGGTTCCATATCAATATGACTAATCATGGCTTTTCTGTTCTTGAGAAGATTTTTAAAAATCCTTCCCATATACTTTTATGTAAAGTTTGATGCCCTATAATTCCCCACCCTACCCACATGGGTCATGATTTGAATAATCTTGAATCTACACTACCTGAGGATGCTTCCATATCAATATATTGAAAAGATTTTTCCTTTATAAAACTGATCCCCAATTGTGGCACTATCCTATCCCCGGGGTCATGATTTAAGAGAAAATTGAATCTACACTACCTCAGGATGTGATCAGAAAAGCAAACTTTAGCTTTCAGCTCAGGTGAGCTAAACGGGTATTACATGTAAATATGCTACTGTCTCAAAATTTTTTAACCTTCCTTATCAATCAATCGAAAAGTTCATCTGATAATAGTATAACATTAGTGTATTGAAATTCGTATAAATGGTTAATGGAATCTATCTTGACCTCTGATTAACTGACCCCCAACACTACAATTTTCTTAATTCCTCTTATCAAACTTGATCCTTTAGTAAAAAATCAATATAGAGACAAGTAATAATTCTGTTCATTATATTGTTTGTATATCTAGATATGTATTTTTACTACACTGTTTTATGGTTATGGGAATAAAGTTTGTTCTCATTTGTATCATTGATATCTATGATAATGTAAACAAGTTATTGCTTCATGAATTTTGAAGTTATGTTGTCAGGTACAACCATTAAAGCAGGATACACAAATTTGATGTTTTTTTTCAAATATATACATGTATATGAATACAAGGGGATTTTCAGTTATCAAATTTCTATGTAAAGTTAAGTAACAAAAAATAACCTTGGACCCTCACAAGGAAACCCAGACCCCTTGTAAAGAGTAAGGAAAGTTATATATCTAAAGAAAATTGACTGCTAAAGAATCTAATCCCCCCTTCTTTTTATGAGGTTTGCATAAGTTGTTAAAATTTTTCTGTTTTAGGCTGTCAAAAAATATTCCTCGTCTGATATTTGTTTGAGTTTGTGTTGACTCCTCTTGGATCCACACATGGGAGTCTCTCCTTCCCTCTAAAGCAAAAAAAAAAAAAAAAATACACAGATAGAGTAACAATGTTTTATTGTCTGGTATAAAATCATCAACATCTGTAGCAAATGAACCGCTTCCAGACAATTTCGCATTTGCACTAAGTAAGCAGTTAAATTTGAAACCAAAATATTTCTAGAACTGGACAGGGAACATAATTTGACATAGATATTATACAAGTATGTTGGTTAAGGACAATATACATAACAAAATATGACCTCATTTACCTTACAAAGAAAAGAAAATATACAATTAATATCATGCTCACAATTAATTGGAAAGGAAAATTAGTAGCATTCATGTATCATTTGACATCTCTCATTCATTTTTTTAACACAGTAGGAAAACTGATACAACCTACCCTACATGGGAACTACATTAATGATACATTAATAAAGATGTACATCTTTTTCTTTCAAATTTGTAGATTTATATTTAGTATGAAAGCCATGTCATAAACAGTACCACATACTGCTCTTAGAAACTGAAATCCCTCCAATTTTCATTTATTACACATTTTGACTATTTTTTTTTTGGAGATATAATTTGTTAACCTTTCCTAACTAAGGCAATATTTAATAAATTATCTAGGATAATATTGCACAAAAGAAAGCTATATTATTATTATTACTAGTAATAATAACATTACAAATACATTTAATTAAGTTTCAGTACTTTTTCCTTCCACATTCAACAGAAATTTCTCAAACAAAGAGAAACAACTCCAGTAGTTCACAAGCATTTGCCCCAGGCTATATGAAATTTAACATCAAATTTATCTGACGTAGATTGTTGTATTAACCACCTATTTAAAAAATCATCAACATTTTACCAAAAAAAAAAAAAGCTTTATAATAATCTGTTAATTTGCCAATGCCTAATTAATCTTTGAGCCCAATATTTTTGAACAATTGTCAAAAACAGAAATACAAGTGTCAGACAATTTTTTTTCAAGGAAATCTTTTCAGTACTTCTACAGCTCACATATTTTCAACATTTTCTGCATACACTATTAAGAACATTTAGTGATACTAAATACTATTAAATAAGCCAAGCTAAGTCTTTGTACATGTTTCGGACTTATCTGATACGGAGACTTGCTAAGTCCTTAAGCCTTACAATAACTTTACAAAGACAAAACAAAAATGATGCAATGCAAATCAAAATTGTTTTTTGGAATGTCTAAAAGAAAAATCAATTTCATATTTTCATACAAGTATTTCAATACAAACTGTATGTACAATGTACATGTAAGTTAAGTGGAAAATCTACAGTGTATTCAAAATTTCTTTTTCCTTGCACATGTATTGAAACAGAGAACATTGAACTATTCTCATAAGAAATTTGAACAATTGCATGTTAAAACCTATCCAGGTAGTGTCTTCTTTCAAGATTCATGTCTACTTGTTCATTATCAGGAAAATGAAACTTACAATTATCCTCATTCACAGCACTTTTCCAATGATTAAACTACATTTAAATGATGTGCATAAGACCAATCTCACTGATAATTCAGTAATTAAATAATATCATTCAGTGAATTCATAACAAAGAAAAAAAAAGTAAGATTTCCTACAAATCTGTTGTTAATAAGCTAGTTACATAGTGGTCAATGCAGTAAGTTAAAAGGAAAATCTGACTACATATGGTCTAATGAAAGCATTACAAGGAATATAATTATACAAGCAATACCATTTGAAATAAGCACCACAGAACAAAGAAAGAAACACGGAAGTGTAAAAAGATAAGGTTGTATTGATATTTTTCTGTTTAAAAAAATACAAAAAAGCTATTCACTGCTTAAATCATAAAGCAGCTCATTTTTCACTGATAGTTGAGAGTTAAAAGAAGTTGATAAATGTATAAAAAAAATAACTTTCTTCACACAAGAAATAAAATCAACTGGGCATAAAATATCTATCAATAATCAAGCATACAAAGCATTCAAGGTTGTGCAAACTAGGCCATCCATAAAGTCCTCTCTTTATACAGTTGAAAAGCACTGGTGAAATTGAAATAAAGTGATCATTTTATATCAAATGAAGATCTTTATAACCTTGTGCCTGATCACACACAGGAGATGAAAAAGAACTTCCTTAAGTTTTCCTTGAAATGAATGAATTCCATATTACTCCAATAAAAAAAAAACAATATGATTTTCATATACAGAAGAAGAAAAAAAAACCTTATCACTTTCTCCATCCAATTACATTCCACCAATAATAAACAAACATCATTATAGATACATAGGTTGACAATGACCAGCAGACTAATCAGCAACAATCAGACAAAAGGAAAATAAACATATACAATGTTGGTATACTATATGGCCTGGAAGCTGGTTTATTTGCAGATCTGTGTTGAAGCTGTAAAATACCCATGCCTTTTGATCACTTAAAATCCCTCCCTTCCTTTCACTCATCTCTCAAGGTGTCTTTTAAGTCAAGGAGGACACTGGGCCTGCTGACCTTCAGTTTTTTTTCTGTTTTCTTCAGTTTTCTGACTAAGTATTTCCTGCAGATTGTTACACTGCCACAGACGTTGAAAGTGAATCATTTAATGTATACAATAGGATAGACAATGACTTAAGAGTAATCAGCAGGTCAAGATTTATGGTTTGATGTTAGCCAGGTCAAGCCCTCATACAGTCCGTCTCCTGACGTCGCACATGCTGGTTGTACATACCAGTTTCTGTCCCTTAGTCTTGTTAAACTTAATTTCTCCTGAATTTCATGTGGTTTCATTGCTGTCAAGAGAAAGAAAACACTTCATTACAAATTTATATACATGTGTATGAAAAAAATAAATTTAAAAAAAATCTGATTTAAATTAAAGTACACCTGCATATTTACAGACCTGCCTACCCCAAATGGTTGCTATTTGTTCATCAGCAAGATTTGATTATTGTGCAGAAGATTTTAACTTTCAATGCAGAAAATTCTAGTGAGTTAACTAAGAACAAATTTGGTATACTCGCAGAAGACATGCCTTAAAATATTTCCATAGCTACCCTGTCAATTTCTTTCTTGAAATTTGTGCACATCTATTTGGGCATCTACTCTTGTAAATGTCTGAAAATCCTTTGACAGGTAACTATCACTCAAGTGTCTGTACTGCTCAAGCTCTATTGAATTAGTAATAATTTAAGAGCCAAAAATGGTGGATATTGGGAGATTTGTCATTCAAATTGTAGATCGTATTAGGCATGTTAGGGGGACAAAAATCGTAAAAATTCGGGGGAAAAATCAGGAGAGCAGGCAGGCCTGATATTATCAATCAACATAATATTTGCTTCTTGCATTCAGATGTGTAAGCATTTTTACAGTTTGTGAAAGGGAAATTAGTAACAACTAACAACAGCAATAAAACAAAATTATCAACATAATTAACTTTCTTTGCAAAGAAACTGAATATATGTAATTTCTCAGACTGATGTATGGGGGAAAAAAAGTAATATTGATCAAAGTTTATAACTTTTTAAAAAATATATGTTGTAGGATTGCTATATTTCTTTTCAAGATTAAAATTCAGTCAGGTGTGCTAACCTAAACATGGGTATATAAATACAATAATTAAACATAAGCACACAATAAGGCAGCATAACAAAACCTGTTTCAACTTACAATCAGGTAAGTCCTGCTTGTTAGCGAACACAAGGATGATGGCATCACGCATCTCCCTGTCGTTAATTATACGATGAAGTTCCTGTCTTGCTTCATCGATTCTGTCACGGTCTGCACTGTCCACTACAAATATAAGGCCCTGCGTACCAGTGTAGTAATGTCGCCATAATGGACGAATCTTGTCCTGTCCCCCAACATCCTATAAAAAGTAAATACTGGATCAGTCATGCCTTTCTCCAGATCAATTTCTAAAATATATGTGGCAAGTTGGTTATTTTTCAGTGTGCAAATCACACAAATCTTACATACACCTTTCAAAGGAAATACATGTTTAGCTATTAATGATGAACAAAAGATTGACAGATAGAAAATACTGCTTCAAACTGAATTAAATTCTTTTACTACATGTATTATCCACTCAATTATATTACGGGCATACTTTCTGGCAACCCTTTATTTAAATCTTTTTTTTGTGTAAAATAAAAAAGAAAGCAAAAAAAAAAAAACCTGGTAACTGAGCCTTGAAAATGACTTTAAATTTATCAAATCTCATTTGATGGGCCTATTTTCTGAAATTATGTATGCTCATGATGGTAAAAACTACTAGTAATCTACGTGTACCACTGCCAGATTTGAGATAAGGTGGCAATCCCATGTAGAAGATGATTGTCTATTGCCCTTCCTATCTATCTGTGGTATTTAATAATGGCAATCTGCACCAGGGCGTTGTTACACCCTAATCTTCTGACCCTAGTACACCATCAACATTACTGCCTGCAGATCTATCCTTCTAGTAATGTCAAACTTCCTTGTCTGTTTAGATTTTACCTTTCAAGGTGGGCTACTTAATGTATTCTTATCTGCATTATCACTGATTATATTTTAATACATAAAATAAACTTATATTGATTGACCTACATTTGTATATGAAGTTAAAAATACAATTTACAACATGCAGCACTGGTCCATGATTCATGAATTGTGTGAAATATAATAAATTTAGCAATTCTAAATAGTTCCTGGAAGTGTAAAAGTATAATAGTTAAATACAAATAAAACTATCAAACAGGAAATGATGTCCTATATCATGCTAGAGTTACAATGCTCTCTCTGCTCTTGTATACGACTTCCTTCAGTGTATGCTGTAATTGGAGGAAATGCTGAAGGATAATGCAGGAAAAACAAAAGTACTGAAAACTCTCTCAAGTCACTGCAGAATCAGAACAATGGAGGAAAGTTAAAACTAAAGCAATACAACATTGAGGGTATAACTGATGGAGTCAATTATTGCAATTTATTTAATAAGGATAAGTAAGTAGGGTCAGAAGTATGTACTGTAGATGTGTCTGACAGATAATGTTTCCACACACCTAATTTGTCTACATTTTTGTATATGACCTTTGCATTCTACACAGGACCTTGCATTGACACAACCATGTTTTCATAAGATCCTTTGAACTTCATTATGAAATCTTAACCTGCTCTCCAAAAATCTTAATATTCTACAGCCCTTATAATACGCTGGTGCAGGAAAACTAGAATGTTTCAATACAGTATAATTTTGAAATCATAATTTTCATCATCTTTATTGATATGTCAAATCCATTGCCAATTCATCTACCTAAAATGTATATTCATTTGTACCAAGTGTTAGTGGGTTTGGAACATGATGACTCTGTGTGTTTATTTGATCATACAAGAGGAGTCCATTTACAGTACAACATAACTATTATTAGCTACAACTGTGACTCATAACTATATATATATATATATATATATATATATATATATATATATATATATATATATATATATATATAGTTATATATATATATAGTTAATCAAGCTTCAGCTGAAAAGGGGAAAGTAATTTAGTCATCACTATCAAAATGACTCATACTTTTAAGAAATAAATCCACTGAGTATTGTATTTAAAAGAAATAATATCACATACTAAGATTTTACTTAAAAAAAGATTGTACTTAAAAAAAGAAGAAGATAAATACATGTACGACACAGGGTTTCAGTTTAGCAAGTTATCATCAGTACTCATATCTCTTACAGAAGTTAAAGTATATGTTACTTTAACATTTTTAAAAAAGGGAAGGAGTAAAAATTAGCATGGAAAGGCTACAAAAAAGGACCATTACTTCCTGCATGTACACTAATTTACTCACAACATCAAACTCAATCGTTAATTTTTTTCCAGTTCTCTCTACTTACCCAGACACTGAATTTAACATTTTTATAAGTGACAGTCTCCACATTAAATCCTACAGTTGGAATAGTGGTCACAGACTGGCCCAGTTTCAATTTGTAAAGTATAGCTAGTTAGTGTTAAGGAAACAAACCACTGGTATGTGTTTTATTCTAAGTAGTGCTTCACTCAAGTAGAAAATATTTTACATATCAAAGGACCTCAGGCTCTTCTCATCACCAACCAGGGATTTTTTTCTTGTAGTGTGATTCAGTGTTCACTACTCAGACACATGCATCTTTTTAAAGTTACAACAAAATACCTACTCTAAGTTTGCCCCCATGGTGAGAGTGGAAAGAGGTTTCTCATAACTGTTTTCTAACATAGTAACTGGAAATCAACCTTTGAATTGATCCACCTTGCAATAAGAATTAGCCTTGAACCAAGTGTTTCTACCTCATGCAAGTTTGTCACTTTCATTATTTTCACTTGAAGATCACTCACTTCCAATCCTAACTTACCTGGAATGCTACTTGAACATGCTGAATTATCTAGTTAAAATTTATTTTCCAGATCAAAGCCCATCACTAAATCTGGGTCACTAAGTGTAATGCCTTTTGATTATTTATGCATTCAATTCAATTAACATATCAAATGGAACTAATTTCAAATTGTAACTATATAAATTACCTTCTGATAGTCAACCGAGATTTTCAAGCAGTACAATGTACTGGACAATGCAAATAAAAGTTTATTGATACAACTAAAAATACTGTATGTGTAAAGCAGGCTTTATATTTTAGCGATTTTGGTGCAGATGACATGGCACTGATTTATGATTACAGCAAAAAAAAAGAATGCAGTAGCCATGCTTTAAACATCTACCATTTTGAACAGCTATCCTGACTCTATTGCGCAATTCAAATGCTGCATTTGTTTCAATGTTTTCCATATAGTCAGTATTAATTTTTTCTTCATTTAATTTTGTTTAACTTATTTTTAATGTTACAAATTCCTTATTCATTCAATAGGAACATGTCAGGGTATGGTTCATCTTGACAGTGTATTAGTTATGTTAGGCTAGTAATTACATAATTTACTTCCTCTGGATATTCATTATCATGGGGCAATATTGAATAAAGATAATTTTAGTGCATTTCTAATTAAACATGTGTGTCTAAATGAGATAATTATAATAAAACACCAAGAATGCTGATTTATCCATATAATTAGCAAGTTTATTAAATTGCATCTATAAATCCATTGAATTCCAATCCATGTTTTATTGCTTCCTAACTTACACTCACTGGCCACTGGAGCATTACCAGTGTTAATGTGGTCAATTCTGGCCAGGTGGATAAGTCAATAAATTCTTAATAATTATTGATAAGCTGTTAAAGCATTTCAATAAAATAATTCTTTTTACTTGATGTAATATTGTAAATAACAGTCAATACTTCATAACAATGCCTGTTACGAATGGCATTTTCTTTTCATGCTGCCCTTATTCAAGATTACCGTATATACTCGCATATAAGCTGGTCCGCCTATAAGTCGGTTGTATTTTTTAAGCTTATATTAAAAGGCTTGACCGTCTAAAATTCAATCTTTTTATGACTCACCTATAAGTCGGACAAAAAGTTCTGAACCAAAGTTTAACTCCCAAAACACCGACTTATAGGCAAGTATATACAGTACGCAAATTACTTTGTACCTGGTGATTGTACTGAAATTTGAACACCTTAATTTATGTACACATACAGTAATAGATACATGTATCTCCAACATGAAAAGTTTGAATCATTAATTTAAGACTTTTTAACCTTAATTTTTGTTTCTCGCGGGGAGTTTTTTTATGGTCAAAACAATACAATATTGTATATTTTAAAAGAATATATTATATAATTGAAAAATAATTCCTTTTGTGTAGAGCTTTGCCTGGGTTATGAAAAAATTAATTGGATACCATAGGTGGCATGTAGGCATATGCGTAAATGGATATCACAAAATTGCACAAATAAACATAAAAAGGATACTGGTTTTGCCTGCTGCATCTAGACCTAGCATCAAAATCCTCATCTCCTTGTTCCCAAAAATCTTAGAAAGTAGCTTCCCCATCTTGTTTTAGCAGATTTTGGCATCTGAAAAAGAGGAAGCATTGATATCAAAAATATAATCAAAACATCAAAAAAGAAAGAAAAATTCCACAAATGTCAAGATAACAATGGCTTAATAAAGACATTAAAAATAAATTGTGTGCAGCCTCACAAACCTGATAAATATTGCACAGGTTATGCCGTCACATGTTTATAATTATTGATATATGTGAATGATGTATAAATAGACAATATGTTTATCCTTTAAATCATACATATAAATAGATTACAGTTTTCAATACAGCAACCTGATGTTATATATTCATAATCACAGAAACTTTAACTTGCAGTATGATGGCAGATCTGGATATATTATATAATGTAAACTTTGATACATCTATCATCTGTAGCAGTTACTGTAGTAAAAAAGGGGGTGGGAGCTCGGGCAAGGGTTAATCTCTCCGGCAGCCTTGGGCAATAGTTTGCACACCGGTTTAACAGATCAGCCGTTATCCTCAACCCCAGCTAACAACTGAATAATGTTGTCCCAGCCCTAGATACAATGTATGTATTACATGACCAGGGCATATTCTGTATGATAAAATTTTTCACCACAAAAAAAAAAATATTCTGAGCTGAAAGAATATTATTTAGTGTAAGTTTCATTATTTTGAAACAATGTAGATGCAAAGTACTCTAAGTTTAAGATGACTTTAAACAAATGAAATTATGTATTATCACACCCACGACACAAGTTATGTAAATAATGAATACAACTTGTGGTAAGGACATGAATGCTTCACATTCATAACACGACAGGGTTCAATCAGAAACATTCATGACTGTATATATGGGTGAATATTCCACTTTCATTTTACACTGATTCAAAGTATTTTAAATTGATTTAAAAAAAAAAAAAAATGAAGCTATGCAGTCACATCTTACTTGCAATATGAACATTAATGCTTTAGTTCATGACACTAAGTGGTCCGTAAGAATGGAAATAACAGTAGGGCTAGGACGATATATTAAGATATTGATTCGAAGAAATATCGAAATATTGCCAAAAAATCTGACTTATGTTTTTCTTTGTTTACTTAACATTTTGGGTTTAATATATAATGTAAATATGCCAAATATCTGTATAAATATGAAACACATATAATAATTAAAACCACATGTGCAAAATAATTTTGTTTTACAACAGATATACAACTTCTTTGAATAAATTATTCTTGTTTCTGAAGAAATCTTTTGTCCATTTCAATACAAAAAAAAGATTTTATAAATCAACTCAACGTATCATGATACATATTGTATCGTGGCTCAAATATCATGATATGTATCAATATAGAAAAAGTTGTATCATCCCAGCCCTAAATAACATGGGATATTAAAAAAGTAGGAGTTCTGGGAACCCCCTCCTAACAGGGGTTGAGTGGGAATACCAGAATAACAGGGGGATTAGTTCATATAGGCGGGGAAATTCTCGTCCCCGGGGTTTTACAGACAACCCCAATCACGAATGCCTTACGAAGCACACTGCTCTTCGAAGCATGTACAATCGTAGAAAAGACACTCTATCTAAGATTTCACTATATTAGTTTATTTATTTAGCACTGAGCAGTCCTTTCAGCTGACTGCTAGACAGTAGACTGGCCAATGTGTAAAGAATATCTGCACAAAATAGTTTTACATCATAACACGAGGGAAAAATATAATGAAAAAAACTGAAATATTTGTCGATGTCAACCAGATGGATGGTGGACAAATATCTGAATATAATTATTTATAATTACAGGACTTTCAATGAACAGGAAACTTAAAACCTGCTCAACAGGCTGAAGTGAAGCGAGTGTAAAAACAGAAAAAATCTTTCTCAACCCAGTATTATTTGAAAAATAATCTTTTCTCTGCAGAATAGTCAGTTGGAAGTTTATTCATCCACTGACAATAATTTAAATGGTCTTTTTTACTACACAAGACACGTAGGGGCGGTGTGAAAACAAATATTCATAAAACAGGCACACCTACCTAGTATATAAACAGACAGGTTTTTGGCCAACTGAACGATCCAAGTTGGTCTTTGATATACTAATTAAATTAAACAGAATATACGTTGTTACAATAAACTAATTTTGACATTTATATCGATTTACAATTTGTTGAAATCGCTCGAAAATTACATCTTGTTTCCACACTTCTCGGCATCTTTGAAGCTATGGCGGTGACCTTAACCGATTCCGCAATATGGCGGACAAAATAGTCCACATGTCTTTTCAAAATACGATAGTGATACAAAATTACGATAGCATACTACTGATAAAATCATTTTCTCACATGTAGCGTTAAATAAAAACAAATAATATTTTCTTTTCAACTACATCCTGTTGGAAAATGTGCCGGCTTGCGGATTAATTTTGGATCTCGCGTTATGACGACATGCCTGAGATTATCATCTACAGTTAAAATTAGCGCGCGTTTTAAAAAAAAAATTCTAGAAAGAAAAATCCCGATATATAGGGTCATCTAGTACTAAATCTAAAATTGTTGAGTGCTGTCATAATTTCCACTTCGCCTTTTTAAGTGATCACGAGAGACATATGCGATTAAGAATAATATATCGGGGATATTCTCATTTTTGTTCCCTGCTAGCTGCTTTCAATGAAAGTGCGTCATTCGTGCCCTGAAAATTCTAGTTTTGGAGCGAACACAGCAGAATTAGTGTTAATCTGTGATTTTTTCCCCCAGGGAGATGTGCACGATGCAGCATTTTTGAGGGAGGGGTCTTAAGGTAGAATACTTATTATTTTGAGGCCTTTGCACCTTCCCCCCCTTTTTTCAAGGGGGGGGGGTATTTTTCCATGCAAATCATATGCGGTTAAAAAAGTATAATGAAAGAAAGTTAAATAAATTATAGCATGGCCGTAGGAACCGGGGGGGCACGGGGGGGGGGGGGCGTGCCCCCCCAATAATTTTGCCGATATATAGTTTACTATAGAAAATAAATTTGCCGATATATAGTTTACTATAGAAAACATAGGTATTATATGATTGTGCCCCCTCAATAAAAACGTCTGATGACCTTTTTTTTTTTTTTTTTTTTTTGCTTGTCAAGGAAATTTTGGTAGTTGATAGTGCCCCCTCAACTGAAAATGTATAGCTGTGCCCCCCCCCCCCCAAACTGAAATTGCTTCCTACGGGCCTGTATAGTAAACTAATTGTTCAGTAAAATTAGATGCCTATCAAATTAAGTGTTTCCATATCAAAAAAAAATTTTCTTCCTAAAATAAATTAACAACGGGCACGTTGTTTTGAAAGTAAGTGAGCCGTATTAAGGTATCATACCCAATCTCCCTTGCAGAGTTGTCGTTCGTTTCTCTCTCAGACACCTCTGCGATGGGCTCACGTCAAGATTTTTGAAATAACGTTAAAAGCATGACATTCCAAGGATTATTTCAAATTAAACTAATAGTTCTAGATATACTTAGTAAATATCTACCTTAAAAGAGAAATATTAATGCAGGCATTTAATTATATTGAATTTAAACAAACGCACTATTTCTCGTGCTTATCACTGTGATATATGCGAGCCAACGACAGAGGTGAATGTATGAGCCGATGGTAGAGAGTGTATCATACCAGTAATTTGACCAATGAAAATGAACCTATTCCATTGTAGTTCCATACATATAAGATTATTATTTTTTTTATTTTAAATTTTTTAAAATTTCCTTCCATGCAGTCTATTTTTACGATTTTGGTACCTGTGCCTAGTGAATTTTACGTACTTTGTACATAAATAAATAAAGGTTTTTGACAGAAACTATTTTTTCAGGGCATAGACTCGAAGCTACTTCCTGGGGTAGAAGTTTATTTTTCTTTAACTAAGAAAACTGACAACTTAGGATCCACCCCCTCAGATCTGCTGCCATTTAGGGTGTATTCAATTAAGCGACACGAGTTACACGAGTTACTAGAGTTGTAAATAAAATAAGACATCTTCGACACGGGTGACCAACCCGTGTTACGCGAGTATACTCCTCTGTTTACCTGGAGTAACAGGTGAAAACAAGAGGCCCAAGGGCCTTAACGGACACCTGAGTATATACAACAATTTAGAGGATCCATAGAGTAAGAGTATAAAATGGACTGAAAAGTGAAGCTTTGTTGCCCAAAAGCAAGAAAAATAGGGTGATTAGGATCAACAAAATAATTAGTCTAGCATTCATTAACAGTTCATAAATTATAGGTTCTAATCTGTTCCCCATTTAACAGAACATTTAATAAGACAACTTATTTTTGTCTCATTTTTATTTATCTATTTCTTACAAGTCTACCTGATCATTAAAACTATGAAAGTACTTTTTGTATTATACAATAAATTTTTTTGCATAATTCTCTTATTCTATTAACCCTTCAAGTACATTATTTACAGTGATTAATTATCAAAAGTAAATGGCAAAGGGGAATAACCCCTCTCAGTAGATTACAAATTAATAGAGCCCTAGCCAGGACCAGAACACTTGACCAAATGGTCCAGATGTTCAAAACTCTGGTAAAAATACCCTTCCTTATTAAAACTTTTACTCTTTTTGCCTCTGATATGCCCAGGTGCAGAGAAGATTTTTAGTAGAGGGCTCAGTGCTTATTACAATCATGCCAACAGTTTGACTGCTTGATGTCCAGGAGTAAAGAAGAAGATTTTTAAAGATTGCATTAATTTTGGTGGTTTTAGCCCTACCCCTCAGGCCCCGGGGGGGACCATGAAATTCACAAATTTTTTTCCCCTTCACACATATATGCCATATGCTAAAAATGGCTGAAATTGGTTCAGCGGTTTCAGAGAAGAAGCCGAAAATGTTCAAATGTTAACACACGACGCACGACGACGGACGAAAACAGATAGCAATAGGTCACCTGAGTGACTCAGTGACCTAAAAATGGCGGGAAGTGAAGACGCAATGTAAATGTGAAAACTGTTTCTGCATAAATATAGACGTTTACTTGGCACTTAGGGCCATTGAGCAGTGAGGGTTCTTTATCGTGCCAACGCCTACCGCGACACGGGGCCTTGGTTTTTAAGGTTTCATCCGAAGGACCCGCAACTTTCAATTTAGTTGCTACCTATTTTTTTTATCGACTTAGGTCAGTCGTGGCCGTGATTCGAACACACGACCTTCCGATCACGGAGCGAGCGCTCTATATCTACGGTGATTTCTTAGTGCTTAACTACATGTATAGTGTTCCTATAGGATTTATTGCGAAAGTGTAACAGCGCGCTGTAACGACGAAAAGTGACCCTCGTAGAATATTGACCGGGGATCATTTTTCTACGTAGAAATTTGACCCCCTGGTCAATATTCTACGTAAAAAAAAAATGACCCACTTTTTTTGTAGAAATTATGGCCTTGGCGTCATTTTTGCAATGTGGATTGTAGAAAAATGACACTGTAGAATAATGACCCTGTGCCATTTTTTGATTAAAAAAAAAAACAAAACAAAAACAAAACAAAACCTGTATGCTTTTGTTAGGAAAATTGTTGTTAGGCAAATACATAGGGGTTAAATCACACAGCCTTATGTTATGAAGAGCTCATTTCTAAAAGTTTTAAAGTTTAAATGACAAAATTAAAGGTTATACTATACCTTACATTTATAATACAAGATGTTTTATCCCAATTAAAGAAAAACCTAACAAGGCTACAATGATGCCCTGTGACTATTAGGGCAAGAATACGCACATTCTTTCATTTAATAAAATAAGTTTCCACAGTTGTAATTCTTTTTAAAAAATCAAGATCATTTTCATAGCTGGTGTAAGAAAGAGAAACATATAAATAAAAATGCATAGTTCCATAATTGTACAGTAATCCTCTTTGATTTTATCTGGGAAAATAATGTGCAACAAATTAAAATATAGTCTTCTTTTTTTCATCAAAAGTTATAAGAAAGGTTAGCGTTTTGGAACCCTACCCAAATAAATTTGCGTGAAAAAAAAGAAGATTGAGAAGAAAATTCGATCTCGTAAATATCTTTGATTTTCTATGAATAAAGTCTCAATCTTCTTCTCATAAAAATATAGGGAGAGATTAAATTTTTGAAAAAATAACACACATAACTAAATCAATATGCCTCTGACCTTCGATATCAGGGGCACATTATATATATATATATATATATATATATATATATATATATATATATTAGGGATGTCAACGATCGATCGTTCGAGTATCGAAAACTAAAATCGCTACTCGGTTACTCGGATTGTATATTTTTTTTTCATATTTCAAAGAACAAAGTATATTATATATATATATATATATATATATATATATATATATATATATATATATATATATATATATATATATCAAAAACTTATCAAAAAATGCAACTTCAAAATGATTTATCCTTGTTTACCTTGTAATTAGCGTCACCCACAAATCTGTTGATACCCGTCTGTGGCTGTGTACTTGTATATACAGTAATTATCGTGACCAATCTCCTGGTACACAGCTGTTATCACTCTTGTGATCCGTTAGTTTATTGGATGGCTTTAATTATTAGTATTTAATGAATATCGTTTAATGAGGGTTTATTATCCTAAAATAATTTAGTTTTCATACGGTAGCGAATTCGGACATACAAATAGATACCGTTACCAATTCAAAATTAAAAAAAAAACATTAGGAAAGAAGTAAAGATTTAAAAAATGTTTAAAATTAGCTGTGCAAAGTTAACATAGCGTATATGGGGAAAACAACCAACATACATGTATTAATTAAATAATATCTAGCGATCTCGACACCATCTCTTTCTTTAAAAACAATATCTTGCGCTTGTCTAATCATTGCAAAGCTACGTTACAGATTGTCTTCCTCCTGCGTTGATCAAATCGTCTTCCTATAAACAAGAATTATAAACCATTTCTATTTAATGATGCATTAATTGTTGTCTTTTGTGTTTATTTGAGAAATAAATTTTAGTGCAAAAAATTATTTTCGTTTTGCTCGATGGATAGAAAACGTTAAAAAATCAACGTTGGGGTTAAACAGGGCTTAACTGGTCTCAATAAAATTAACACATTTGTATTTTACAATTTTACCGAGTACCCGGATACTGGATCGGAAAATCGTTCGAGTAACCGATTATCAAATATTGACGGATTTGACATTCCTAATATATATATATATATATATATATATATATATATATATATATATATATATATATATAT